GATGTCATATGGTATGGAATAGCCCTTTGGGCAGTTTGGGTCAGCTGTCCTGGCTGTGCCCCCTCCCAGCTTCTTGTGCACCTGGCAGAGCATGGGAAGCTGAAAAGTCCTTGACTAGCATAAGCAGTACTCAGCAACAACTAAAACATCAGTGTGTTATCAACATTCTTCTCCTACCAAATCCAAAACACAGAACTATGCCTGCTACTAGGAAGAAAATTAACTCTATCATCTCAGCTGAAACCAGGGCAGCATCATATTGAATCTGAAATTGTCCGTTCAAAGTCACATGGATTCTCCAGAAGGTTGGGGTTTTTTTTAGAGGAAGACTTATACCTTTTCACCTGGAAGTCCATTGCTACCGGGTAAGCCACGGAAACCGGGGGAGCCCTGCCAAATAAAGGAACAAAATATGGATCATAGGCAATATGACCTAGGTAAATGGCAACTGTTTTTTTTCCCTAAACTACTTACCATTAGACATATTATTATGAAAATTAATGAAATAGATGGAAATGACATTTCACTGTAGCAAGAAAGTCTACAGAGTTATTTTCTCTTTGAATAAAACCCTCCTGCTTGAAATCATAGCCCATCCTCCAGTATTTTTAACTGGCCCTGCATTAGTTACTTTATTCATGAGTTTTCTAAATTATTATCAAAATAAAACCACACGTTCAGTCTTGAACAATTATTTTCTTCTAATTCAATACCAAAAAGAGCTCTATTGTATTGTTTTAATATTTATATTTACTACTATCTTCATTGCTTACAATAAATTTGAATAATAAAATTTAATTTGCAGCCCCATTCATATATTTAATATGATTAATTTGTTCACTGTGCATCTTTGGTTTCCTCATAGCTTCAGCAAATACTGCAATCAATTATTAAATTAGAGGTTATAAATAGATCAGCACAATTTCCTTTGTTTCAGATGGGAACAGAAATCTAGAATTTGTAAGGGTTTTGCTATTTATTTTGTTGAATAAATCAGTTCAGGAAGTCATTTGTGAGAATGTTTTTTAGAGAGTTATGAAATCTACTAGCCAAAAAACCTGTTGACAATAAAGATATTATAACATAGAAGACATCCTGACAATATTGTTGTTATTATTATTGATACTTAAGATCTATTGACGATAAAGATGTTGACATAAAGACATATCCTAAATGTAGAAGAATTTGCATTAGTTTCACTTCCCAGAGCTGAAATTTTGTGATTGTTCATTTTTGTTAACTGAGAAGTAATTTTGAAATTTTTTTTCTTTTTCCCTGTGTATTTCTCACAGTTTATGTTTGCTTTCCAGCACAAATCTTTTGACACAGCTTCCAGGTATATAACATCGCTGCTTCTTCAATATCAAAAAAGAAAGAAATTAATTTATTTCAGACTGAGATAGATCCAAGTGTTGCAATTCAGATGAGGGACTAGATAAGAATTCTCCCCAGTTTCACATCTGGAATTTGCTGAGAACAGATATGGACCCAAATTTCTCCTTAAAATGTTTGAACACCAGATTTTGCTGTCTCTGTATTAAGTCAGAATGTGCCTTGTGTGCATGGTCATCTACAGCAGCTTACCCTTTCTCCAGGTGTACCAGGTACGCCATTCTGACCAGGTTCACCATTTGCACCTCTTTTGCCTTCCTCACCAGGAGGTCCAGGAGCACCTGGGGTGCCATTTTCACCCTGGCAACAACAACAAAAAAAGCCCACCAGTGAAGTTACAAGTCTCCAAGAAAACCCCTTGGGTTTTGTATGGGGAATGATTCAGGGTTCAGACTTCCTTGGAAGAAGTCTCTGAGTGCATTTTAAAATCACTTACGCGCTCGCCTTTTGGGCCTGGATCTCCTTTTGCACCATTCTTACCAGGTTCTCCCTAAGCAGGAGAAAATCCCATTAAAATTATGGATTGCAACAGGGTATTATTCTAGAGCTACTAATGTACTAAGATACTAGGTAGACATGATATCTTTCAAATTATTTACTAATATTTATTATTTTACATTCTACAATGGAATTAGCATGCACTAGTTGAACCTGGATGTGGGATGCATGGGGCTTCTTAAAAATCCAGTGAAGAGGTAATGCAATCTTAAACACCACTGAGTAAAATTTTATGTCTGTTTCTGAGCTATTTCAGACATCATTGAGACTTTTGCTTTGAAGTCCCTGAGTATTTTCTCTGACAAAGAACTATGTGTGGTGTAAGGCTGTCAGGAAAGAGCCTGCTGGGGTAAATGACAGTATAAGAGTAGGTACAACTCACTAGGTGTAGTGGACTGTGGACTCAGCCCGTGGGAATTTAAACAGGTGAAATTAGGATATTAAAACAACAGATTTTGTCTAACGTAGTCATTTTAGACAAGCTATTTTTTTGTTGAACTAATAGAACTAATAGATAATTTAGGAAAGCAAATAAATATTATTATCATATTTATGTAGAATTTTTATATATAGCAATATATAAATGTGTGAAAGATAAATATATTATATATTTATAAGAATAATTGCCTATTGTTGTTATAAAATAATATATTAGACCCTCTCAAGTGAATAGGACAAATTCAATGGGCTTTTTTTTAATGGTATCAGAACTACTTCCACCATATTTGTTTGTACAACCAGTGTAATGAATATTAGTCACTCACTGGTGTGCCTTTTGCTCCAGGGTTTCCACTTGCACCTGGAGGACCAGGAAGACCACGGCCTCCTGGCAGACCAGGAGCACCAGGAATACCAGCAGGTCCCTGTAGAGAGTGAACAACAGATGTGGATGAAGAGAGCACGGCATTGTAGGACTCCGCCCAGTCCAAACAGCAACCCTCACCAACACAATGCAGCAAAAGACAGTGATATGAGAGTACCTACCATTTCACCCTTGTTGCCAGGGCTTCCAGCTCTTCCAGGAGGGCCCTGAAAAATAAATGTATAAATAACTGATTCTGCTAACCTAGGACTAAACCAAAGGACATGTACTGCTTTGTGAAGAGCAGCTTGAACAACACTTCTCAGTTTCCATGTGGTATTTACATACCTGAGGCCCAGGTGGCCCAGCATTACCCTGAGGACCAGGTTCTCCTCTCTCTCCAGGACTACCACTAGAACCAGCAGGACCAGGAGGACCAGCTTCACCCTACAGAAAAACAGTAAAAGGAGAAAATGAGTGGATTTTAGTCTTGTCTCCAGGGAAATCAGTATTAGCTTCATGGCTTCTTCCACTACTGTGGCATCTTTGTGTGATTTGGGAAGAAGGTTTAACACCATCATCACCCGAGTGCCAGAGCCAAATCAGCACGACGACACTGGTGTACCCATGCACTCCAGCCAGCACATGCTGCACAGCTCCTCTAGTTGTGCGAAATTCACTTGAGCCCCTCCCATAATGCAACATAAATCATTGGGTCTACCACTTAACGGTGCTTTGAGGTGGATATTCGTGAAGGTGATGAGGATAGGGTTTGCCTCGTGCAGCATGTGAAAACACATCAGTTCTAGGCTTGCAAACCATGTAATAGCAGCCAGAAAAAGGAGAACTTTATAGTGACATAAGCTGGCTAACTAGGGAAAGGACCAAATCATATATTAGTATGCATCTTTATCCAAATACCTTAAAACCTGGAGAGCCTGGAAATCCTGCAGTTCCAGGGGGACCTGGGGGGCCCTTAAAATGAAAGAAATACTATTAATACAAAAGTAAAAGCCATATGGAATTAATCTTAAGTTAAAAAAATGTCTGATTATGAGATTTTTCTCTGAGTAAGGAAACACCTGGCAAAATAGCAAATATAAATCATGCTGTAGAAGATGAAGGCTGGTTAGTCCTAAAATATCACACCTACATCTTAATAACCCTGACTTTTACATGTTCAGCTACATTTCTGTGTTGTAAATTTAAAAACCATGAAAGCTATCATTAAAGAGATTAAGTTATAAAATTGTTTGAAATTTGTTCTAATTATAAAAAAGGCATAGAAGAAAAAAAGCGCTAATATATAGCTGTTACACATACATGTGAACATGCTCAGGTTTCTACGCAGATGGAAGAGAAAAATTCTTGCCACCTCAGACAGCTAAATAATGTATTTGACAAGACCATTCAAAATCTGATCTGCATAGAGAACAGCAATTCTACCCATCTCTATGTTCTCTGAGAATAATCTGGTTTTGGATTTATGCATTTTCTGATTTACAGTGTTAAAGTTCTACTATTGCACTGTATGCTTCAAGTATCTTAACCTGCTTCAAGTATCTTAACCAACACAGTTATGAAATATAATTAAATAAATGCTCATTCTTAAGCCAATGCACTGCCAGTCTCGGGTTTATTGGCACTGCAGAACATCAGCTAGAAGAAACTAGACTTGAGCAACAAAAATACTTATAGTCAAAAATCTGTAAGTCATCTTACAGGTGGGCCTGCTGCTCCAGGAGATCCGTCTTTGCCATGGGCACCCTACAGAAAGAAAAGAGGTGTTGGGTACAGAGCACTACCCCGGACAAAGAACCCACATGCATTAATGCCCATGACTCACAGACCATCTTTTTGTATCTGCACATTCCCACTTAGTTGACCAAGACCCAAGGATTCCTCAACTGAAATTCTAAGATAATAATTAAATAAATGTTTTGTGAAGGAATATCCAACATTTTATGCGACTTGTACTGTAATGATGAGACAGCAAGATACAAAAAAGTATTCTTATTACATTTCTTAAGGAAATAACAGTAACAAAGCATCATCTGTGTGGACAGTTCTTAAGATTAAATAAATAAGATTGCAATAGGTGCGTATTTCAAAGTAACAGTTATTTCTAATTCGCATAAAAGACTAAACTTTCACTCCAAAAACCTAACAAACAGTGGTATGGTTTAAGTCCTGTTGTCTGTCTTGTAGACATGTTAGACCAGTTCCGCTGCTCAGGTTATATGGTGTTTGTACAAGCAAGTTGCTAGCTGTTACACTTTAGCTGTGCTTTGTTGATTACGTTGGATGCTATGAACTATGACTTCCTTCAGAGCAAAGAATGTGCCCCCTAATCTCAGTCAAAGAGTAATTTTACCTTTTTCCTGCAAGTTACTTCTGAGATTGCAGTTTTTCCTCTCTGCCTTCTGCTGCTGCCCTTTGCTTCCACTCCTCCTCCCTATTCCTCTTGACTGAACCAGAGCTTATGCTGAAACACTGAACTCTCCCTCAATGTGTAATTTATTAATTTTAAAAAAAGGAAATAGAGAATAAGATGGTGAACACATTGTGAGCTAGAAGTGTTATGTCTTTCACTGGGGACTGAAAAGTTTTCGTGTATAATTTTACAGATGCTATATAGTTTTCTAATCCTTTGCATTACAACTGTTTTAAGGTAAATCTATGAAGTAGGGAATTCTCAACATACTGAAACAAAATATGTGCTGCTTCTGGATAAGAACAGCTGCAACTACTTACAGGACCACCAGGATTCCCAGGTCTTCCTCTTTCGCCAGCTGGACCTCTTGGTCCCTAGAAAATGTGAGAAAAAGAGTCTGTTAAATGGCTTCCAAAATAATATGGCTGAGCAAAGAGACACTGCTCTTATTTGCATATCAGTATTGTTCAATGTATGTGGTGGAGTAATTAAAGTTAAAAGAAAGATGAGTAATTCAGTTAAGCGGGAAGTGCCACTGGCTCTTCCATTTAATTACTACAGGATACACATATTTACCGGTTGGCCTGGTGATCCGTTTGCTCCAGGAAGACCAGCTTCACCCTGTTATGGAAAGAAAACACCAATGACAGAATGAACTTTGGTGAGAACATTTTTTGGTTTATCCAAGAGACATAGAAATGAGAGAGCCCAATCCATTGCCCCTTTCTGCATGGTGTTGAATGTCCTTAGCATGAACTGAGGTCTGTCAGGTCTGAAAAGTCTAAACAAGTACCAGAACAGAATATTTAAACAGAAAAAAAAAAAAATCAGGAAGACTTGGTCCTTTAATATCATGCAATAAAGTCAGATGATCCAGGATGTCCTTTCATTTTGGAATCTCATCTTTGTTATGGCTGGAAAATCGGGACATGATGTGGTTCAGAAAGGCTAACTCCTTTGGAATGATTCTCATTCTTCTCATGGAGATATTCAATGGGTTTCTTTAATGTTTAATGGATTTTTTATAATTGCATAACATGCAAAGCATAGCTATATAACAAATGATGAAGGGTATTACTCTACCTATTACAAAGATGACACTATATTTTTTTACCTTTGGCCCAGGAGCACCACTGTCACCTTTGGCACCATCTTTTCCATCAAAACCCTGTGGGAAAGGAAAACCATATCTGTGAATAGTATTCCTTTTGTTTTCTGGAAAACTTGATTCCTCTTGGCAAAATATTAAACTTCAAGACAAACTCATATAAAGGGGCATATCTTTAAGAATGAGTGCTATCATCTATTGGAACACTTTTTGAAAGAAAATTCTGAATTCTTCATCTCTCCATGGACATTAGTTGAGAGAGGATGCTTTTCTGGAAAGCATACTTCAGGCCAGCATTTGGGATGGAGCTCTACAATTGAGGTAACAAGATAAAATTTAACAGCCTTTGTTATCATAGAATTGTTTAGGTTGGAAAAGACTTTTAAGATCAT